TTCCGTGCCCGTCCTGGCTTTACTGCAGAGACGGTGTAGGGAGAAGGCAGAAAGAAAGAAAGAACTCAAAACAACTCTGCAGATTTGCATCCCTAGAAGTGGCTTCATCTCAGTGCTCCCTATATTTTCGCTTCTCTGATGTTAAATTTATGATTGTAGGGTACTTCGTGAACCTCCTATGAAAAATGGTACAGAAATAACACAATTTCTTGATTGTATATGAAAACTTTAGCCAACGATTAGAGACAAACACATGTTGAGGAAGACTAGGAGTACCACTGCTGACATTTTTTCCCGCCCTTTTTTTGTGTGAAAATTTGTAGCACTACTTTTTTCACTTCTAAGTTGTGGCGCAGTATTCCGTTTTCCTTTGAAGAGGTACTTTGCAAGAATTCAAAATCAGAACACTAAAAAAAGGGGGAGGGAAAACCAGTTCTGTGCATGTGTTTATGCATGCCCGTGTACACAGCAGTGCCAGCATGAAAAACTGATTCTGACCTCCTTCGAAGAGTCCACACAGGGTTCATCTTTCTATTGTTCTGTCACTCCTTTTACTCAACATCCCCCTGTTTCCTAGGACAGTTAAAACACAGCAGGTACCAGTAGCAGGGCAGAGGTGCCCTCCCGTTCCAAAAAGACCGCGAAGCGCAGAAAGGCCCTGGCGCTGCCCCGGTAGCTTGGCTGAAACAATTCCCGTCCCTGAGCATCACCGTTCTGTTCAGCAGCCTTTGTGCCATCAGCCAGAACCTCCAGAGAACGGCCAGCGGCGAAGGTGAGAAATACATTGGCAAACACGAAGTACTATCAAGATAGGCTAAAAAGCAAGAAAAGCACACATTAGCACTTCTGTGACGGTTCCAGAAGGGTCCACAGGAAAGAGGGGCTGACCCCGAGCGACGGGGGCCTGCAGCCCGTCAGAGGGAAAAGGCTGAGAGGCCGTTTACTGCCAGGTCACAGCCGCGCCGTTTAACCTCCCTGGATCTCGACGACTTATCAGTGCTCTTCGTTAACACCAATCTATATTATTGCTCCAGTGGCTATTTACTTCCATTCAGAAAAGTTGGATCAAATAAGACAGATTTTTTGTTTTGTTGTTTCTTCTTCTTTTTTTTTTTTTTACCCAGAACACGTAAGAGGAGTCTGCTGCGGTAGGGAATGAATGATAGACTCGGCTGTTGATGGAGAAAGCAAAGAAGTACTTCTACATGATATTAATGTGATCTTAAAATAGTGGGAAAGTTTTCTTTTATGACATTGACAGAGAGGCAATGATTTTGAGTAATGCAGGTTGATGTGAAGATGCTTTAAGATTAAATAAGTGCTATATAAAGGCCTGTCAGCCTGAATTCTAATGTGCTATGAGACATTTTGCATATTTAAGAGTATGCAAAATGTCTTGTACCACACTGGAATTCATTCTGACAAGGCTTTATATAGCATTTATTTACACTCATATTGTACTTTAAGGGAGAAGGGATAACGCTGGCTCCTCTCTGAAAGGAAGTAACAAAAGATAACGCTAACCGCTCTGTTTCCTTCTCTGAAAAAGAAAACAAAACCAAAAAAACCCCACAACACAAAAGATAAAATAAAAGCAATCAAAAGTGGAAGCTTGTTTAATATTGCTCTACCATCATCCTGAAAGGCATAATAATTTGAGTTACACATCTGAACTGATTGGAGTTACAGAATCATATCTCCTTTTTGCATTTAACAATATATACAATATAAAATAAATACATTTACACAAATGGACATTGGTTGGAGCACACGGTATGATACACATCACAAAAATATACAGTTGATTGCTATACAGATGTGAAGCCCATCTACAGCTATAGACATGTTTGTTTTTATTTGTTGTTTTGTTTCGTTTTTTAACTACTGGCTATTATGCAACTCCTGGATTATTATAAGCAGTTTAATTTTTTTTGTCCTTTTGCGATCTTTGCACGATAAGACTGCCATAAAGTGTTTTCCTAGGCAGGTAAACAGAGACGCTTAAATAATTAAAATACAATCACCAACACCCATTTTCTCTTCTATAAGAAAAATAGCAGTTTTAATTTTTTATATCTTTTTATGTTATCATTTAAATGCAAAATAGTGGAATAAATACAACAATCTGATCTGATTGAAACAAACGTGTAACTTCTGGGAGTTACACAATCATATTGCTTTAAATAAGAAAAAATTAAAAAATGAAGCAAAAATAGAAATTAAATCGTTATGGCTAAAACATACACCCTTTGAAATTTTCCCAACACTTCACATTAAGTAAGTGGTCTTGAAAGAACTCTTCTCCAGCAAGGTTTAAGATGAACAACGTTTATAAAGCCCGTGCAGTTCTTTTAGCTCTGTTTCAGGTAATGCTTTTACAGTCTTGAGATACTTGTTCTTTTGCAGCTCCAAAAAATTACAGGAAATGAAAACTAAAGTTTGCACCGTGTGCCTTTAACACATCTCCATTTTTTGTGTGGTTTTGTATACTTCTAGTTGATTGGCTTTTGACCCTGAAGCCCAAGTTCTTTAATGTGATACAGCAAAAACAAATATTTATATTATATATTTATATATATATAGTGTACTTGAACAGTAGCAACTTAAACCCTGCACAAACTTTCTGGAAAATAAACTTTTTTTTGCACTCTTACATATATAAATAATCTTAATAGAATCAGCACCTTTTTCCCAGGAGTTGTAATTTTTTTTTTTTGACGTTTTTCAAAAGGGATGTGCCAATTTCTGAACTCCTATCACAGCTATAAATTTCAAGTTATTGACCATCTGAATGAATTGCTAATGATGATTTACCTAGAATCACACTACAGTCACTTCTCTACTGAGAAAACACAATCTACAATATAGTCCCATATAGCTAATGATAGATACACAGTCTGTTTTTTTTTTTTTCCTAGCACGAGGCCGATGGAGCATCAGCCCATTGTTATTTCGTTTAAAGCACACAACGTAGCAATAGTTTTGGAAACTTGTCCGCACCAAAAAAGTTTTGCAACAACACAGAGCGAGTTAATAACAACATCTGAGAGATGATTGAATAAAAGCTATATTTACAGCGTTTAAAAATTAGACTTATCTATAATCTTGAAATATTCAAAGTTTTATTTCTAAGCTATACATTGGTATTCTATAATAAACTGTTACAGAAATTATCCCTTGTTTTGAAAATATTATGATTTCAATGTGTATCTGTTCATAACGAGTATTTGTTTGGAGTTTCGATCTCTTAATTATTACTAGGAAGAACCTTATTACCGGTAAGGAATAGAATATACTACTGTAATCTCCTGAGGAATTGTACATCCAATATTGTCTCTAATTCTACCCTGTGTCTATAAGCACACACCACAAGAATCCAAACACCACAAGAAGAACAAGACAACAGTCTTTGAATGCAACATAAAAATTCAGAAAAGCACAGCAAACATGAAACATTGAAAAGCTGAACTACATTTCTTTTGTTTGTTAGGATTACAATTTTAATTACATCTGTGTACATAGAATAAGGATGTTCACATAGTACAGGGAGCAGCTACTAACACTGGTACATTGGTATAGCATTTGATGGAGGTTATTGTTTATTGGTTATTTAGCGACTGTAGTTTTCTGGGGGCATCTAATCGGTTTATACATTAGATTACACCTCGTAACAGTCTTGAAACTGACTGACTTTCATGCTGTGACAATACTGGTTGAAAAGCACATATACTGCTTTAGCTACTTGTTAAAGATTGCCATTTACAAAGTAAAATCTAAATCAATAAATAAGGTATAGAAGTGTTAAGTTCTTCAATTTGGTCAGAAGTCTACTCCTCTGATTTCTTAATTTTGCAAACGTCGGCATTTGCCTTATTGCCTCTAAGCTACTATTGGTTCATAGGGTTTTTCTGCATGTGAGGTTATAATTTTGCAAACAGGCAGTATCTCGTTCATTTGCAACTGAAGCAGTTAGAAATCACGTAGCAACTGCACCTTTGTACAGCCGCTGTCTCCTAACACCGTTACAGATTGGTATTTGACATGGAGTATTTATATGTTAGACTACTCGGATATACTGTAGGTGTAATCTAATCCTTGGAGTCAGTGAACATTTAGTTATAAACTGGAGCTCATGTTAAGAAACTGGATGTTTTGGACCAGACTGGCACACAACATAAATTGCATCCGTGATAATATGCACCTTCCCTTCAACTATTGCTTTAGTAAGATAAATTCCCACATTAATAAATGGCTGAAAACTGGTAAAGCTGGTACAAAAAAATCTCCGTTAGTAAGAAGAAACAAAACATTTAAAAAAATCTTCCTTCAGGATTCATTTGTCCTTCATTATTGTTCATCATTGTTCAAGCCAGCACAAAAATGCAGTATTTCTTTCTCTTTAGTATTGCATGAATGAATAAAGCTTAAACTATTCCCTGAAAAAGTTACATTGTAGCTAACCTAAGAAATATCTGGAAGACTTGAAAAAACAATTAAGGAATCAAATGGCTGTAACTGATCTAGATGGAAAATGCAATGATAAGAAGCAGCCGATGCATCGTCGCTTAGTCGTCTAATTAGACTGCTCCTATGAAATCTAATACTGCATTCAGTCAGTTCATCGTGTTGTACTGTACTGCTAGGTACGGTGGTTCTCTCTTTGATTCCTTTGTCATTGGGGACATTATGGTTCATAATAAGTTCACTGGCATCCATATTATGGATTTCCATCCTTTGGCAGGCCTGGCTTCCATCTCTCTTCAATTAGAGACCTCTTTTAAAAAGTTCAGCAGCAAAGAAAAAAGAGAAAAGGAAAAAGGAAAGGAAAGAACAGAAAGGAAAAGAGAGAAAGGGAAAAGGAAAAGAAAAACTGCATCAGAAAGACACAGAAGAAAAAGTTGAAAGCTGCTTCACAGTCTTGCTGCTAAATATCAGTGCAGTCATTTTTTCCTTAATTAAACACTAAGTTTCTTTGCCATTATTATCCTGTTTATTTTCCCTTTTTTTTTTTTTTTTTTTTTTAAAACGTGCATGATGGGAAAGCCCATGATGCTTTAGTCAGACCTTGGCCTCCAGCATTTCCAAAAAAAGTTTGTGCATGGGGACTTTGCCTTCCAGTTTGATGTTGTAGAAATGCTGCACAGCCTTGGTGGAGGTTTGCCTCAGAAGCGGGAGAGTCATCAACATCTTGCCTGCGCGACGTGGGTCTTCCATGTGCTGCCCGGCCTCATAATCCTGCAGAGCCTCATGTAAGACGTCCTGAAGTTTCTGCACTGCCTCAACATCCTCTATGTGCATTGAGTCTGCAAAACAAAGGAGCAACAGCAGGTTTCAGTTCGGTGTGCCAGAAGTCAGATCTAACTCCACAGTTGCACATCACTTTCACTGGTTCTATCTGTCCTTTTTCACAAAGAAGGAAGATGATTACCCGCTAACTTCTACAGTGACCTTTAGGAAAATATCCGGAACTGCTGTGGAACTACAAATGTGTAATTAACGCTTGTGTAAGCAGTCCTTCTCCTCATCCTCCTCAAACTAGTAAAATGATCACCCTTGCTGCTCCACGAACTATCTCTTACAGTTACTGCTTTGAAGAAACGATAGCGCCGAAGGGCTGCACGAATTGAGGTCCGCGTTTTAGCAGGGACGCAAGAATGACTGCCCTACCACGGAAAAGCTCGGTAAAACTCTGTGTCAGGCTCCAAGGCTGTGGAGTTGGAAGCCATGGTCATTATCCACTTGCTCAGGGACACTAGTCACAGGATTAGGACCACTGCACTGACACAAGAGAAAAGCAGGTTTGATGTGATTTCCTGATAGGTTTAGCAAATTTTTTCGCCTCAGGCACATTCAGACAGACAGGCAACGCTTAATATGTTCCTGAACAGCTTTTGCTCTGTGAAGCAAACATCTACCAGGTGTGATCCTTCTCTCCCACTCACTCAAAGGGTCGTTTATCTTGTTATTGTTGGGGTTTTGCATTTTTACTAAATCACTGGAAGCAAGCACCTTGCCCAGTACCCTTCCAGGTGAGATGTTTTGGTGGCGTGAGTATTGAGTGACAAGCCTAGACACAACGAACATGAGGAACTGAACTAAACTGCTACATGACCCAGAAAGATTAAAGCAACGGAAGTGTGAAATAAAAAGAAAAGATCTAACTGAAATAACTGTAAAACCCTAAACAGCACAGATACAGAAAGGGAAGATGTCTCTGAGAACACGCAGTTACTGGACCATGCTGAGATGACTTCAGACGAGCAGCCCTAGTTCTCTGACTTTTATGTAATCGTAAATGCCAATGAAAAAACAATGTGATCCAAAGTGAGGTGAATCTGAGGAAGAAGAGTCACAGGTAAAAGAAGCTGCCCAACACCCTCTAGCAGCTATCAAAATTTGGATGGTCGACAGACTTACAGAGTCAATAAAGCACCATATGAAAATATTACTGCTGTGAGGGGGGACGAGTCCTAGGGATAGGCTACACTGTGCAAGCTTAGCTCAGGATGAAACTGGGACACGGCATTATTAAAGTATATCCTTGAAACCTCTAGTTAGTACTAACACTGCTTTGCATCTTAATTTTTGGTTTTGGAATAAAGCTCCTGTTCCCAGACAGAATAATGACTGAGGAGTTGGGTGTGGAAGAACCCACTCTATCATCGTTTCCAAGCCCTGTATTAAGCAGCCTGATGCCCTGGATCACTATTTTGACAGAGCCTCATGTTTTACCCTGTTGATGATAACGACATCAAATATTGAACGTGCTTCAAATATCTGAATTACATTCGGAGAATTAAGATGCATCTGAGATTCGTTTCCTAAAAGCTGATGTGCAACTATTTTCTCAGATAATTAAGCCAGATAGTAAATACCTGTCTCTTTTCAAACACAAACATGTAAACTAAACCACAAACCAGTAAGTAACAGGTTAACAAAAACGTTCCAGCTTCTATTGTCAAAACAAATGTGCAAATTGAAAAGAAAAAAAAATAAAAGTTACAGCTCCTGCTCTAAAACAGACACTTAATTATATACAAGTTTGGATCATTTAGCACGTTTTATTGATTCTGATGACAGTTTATCTGTTAATTACACATAATGGAGTCCTATGGGAATTTTACATGTTTAATAATTCTGAGTCTTAGCGAATACATGCTCTAAGAAGCATGCAGTTAAGACACACGCTGCAGGGATGTGATACCGCACATCAAGGTGCACTGTGCTGAAAGCAGAGCAACGCAAAAATTTCTCTCTTAGGGAAAAGGAAGGCTACAGCATTTTAAAAAAGATGACAGGGAAATATTACCTCTAGCAAAATTTAGTTCTAATTAATGTGACACCATTACCCAAATCCATACATTTTTGATAGTTTTCTAAGATGGCAATTCTATTAAATAATTCTGTGTCAATAAGAGAAAATCCCTGAATTCTGTGTCCTACAAACAGATGTAATCGATACAGACATGCTAACACACACATACAAACGTGACTGATGTCTTAAACACAGTGTCCAGCCACTGGGCTTAATTTGGAATGCAAACTCCAAACAAATTGTTGTCTTTGCTCCTGATGCTTTACCAAGTCCTTAGATATTCACCGTTGTGCTATAGAACAAACGATGTGCTACTCCAAATAGTTTTTCCAAAAACCATGCACAGTTTGTGCAGAAAGTACCCATCTTTTCCTTCTCTCCCCAGGCCCACAGTGCCAGAGCCAGATTTGCTGGGAAACCAAACAGGAGCATTTTATCAGCAACAAAATGCTCGGCGAGTCAAAGACTGACTGCTCTTGTGAATTCTTTTTTACACCACACTGAATAAAGGGATAGGTCTTTCTGGAGAACCTGACTATAAATGTTTAGGTTTTAACCCTCTACAAAAGTGGTCTGATTCTTCCCAGAAACAGTACTTGTAACTGCAGCCACGTTTGAGTTTGCAAATAGATGGAAGGACTCCAGATGAATACATTTTTCGCGCAGAGATGAAACTTCCCTGAGATCTTCAGCTCTGCAGTTTGGATAGCAATTTGGCCTGCAGCGTTAGGAATATATACGCTCCACATATTTCTTACACAGAAACTGAGTGAGGAGGGAAAAGAGGAAGAGAGCATCCCCAGAAAACGCAAGAAGGAAAGATGAATCCAAACCTGCTCTCTGATGCAGCTATTACACTCTGTGCTCTCAAACTCTTCCACTGTGCGGACAACATCTTAAAACAAGGGATCTTATCCTCTCCTTGCAGGGGTGATTGTGTACTATCCCTCCGGTAAACAGAGCAATTGCTTACACGGAAAAGTAATAGTAGTAAAGCATTTAATGTATTTGTTGCTGTCTTTGAAATCAATTTAGCAGCTGGGAAGAACGTGACCAGCTGGCTCTCCACTGGCCTGATGCAAGCACTCCGCTGCCGAACAGTGGTTCACGAAGCAGTTGAGGAAGCTGTGCCTTGGGAAACAGATTTTGTCACAGGAAACGGGGTATGAAAATACAGCAGAGAGAGGGGCACTTCCAAACAGTGATTAAGACTTCAAACTGTTCTTTTAAAATGGTGATTTAGCTCCAAAGATTTAAAAATGATTGAATCAAATCGCTATGATAATTTAACTTCCCATTTACAGAAAAGATTCAAACTCATTTCAGCTTTACTCATTCTAGGGTCTGCTAATGCTTAAATGCAAAATCTGTGCTATTTAATTAGACCATGATTCAGCTTGCAGATTGCTCAGGAAAATATTAATCTCTACAAAGATCCTTCTTCAAGTTTTAGCTTTGCAGTCTGGAACTTCCACTTTATTCCCGATATTAAACGAATGTAGATCTTAATCCCCCAGGCGTAAGCCTTTGAAAATAAGGAAGATGGTTGAAAACACTGAACTAGCCAAGGGGAAAAGAGGAGGAAAAATAGAAGAAAAGAGAAATCTTTTCAGTAACTACAGACTGGCAGATGTAGAAGTGAATTCAGAGCAGGGTAACTTATTGCTGATAAACCCAATCCTCACTAGCAAGAGAGGGCAATGTCAACAAGAACCACTATGATTTAAGGAAACGCAGAGTCTGTGTGACAATCCAGAAATAAAGAAATAATTCCACAGACAACATGAAATTGAATTACAAGTTAGGTACAAAGATTTTGAATTTTCTTCCTATACCATGAAAAACCCTTTTCTTTTGTTTTTAGACTGTTGTTTTGTTTTGTTTTTTAAGTGCCTTTGTAGACAGCCTGGATGATTTACAATCACACCCTACACAGGTAATATCCAGAAGAAACCTATACCCAGATACAATACACTTAAAAGTCAGTGCCTATATAAAGAATGAAATGAAACAGAGTAATTTGAAAATGTTGCCATTTGAAAGCAAGTAGGATTTGATCTTAAATGCACTGCAAAAAAAAAGATCCCAGACTGGTGAAACTGAAGAGCTCAACAGACAAACACAAGACTTGATACAACGTGCTGCTGAGAACATGGGATTTCAGTCCAGAAGGGGTGAAAGTTGCTACTGATCGGTGCTGTGAAAGGAGAGAGTGAGATCAACAAATAAGGACATCGACTCACTGAGCTCTTCTTTGAGAATCTCATTTTATCCTTGCAAATGCTTTGTTTCACCATCACAAGATGAGAAATTAGAATTGTACCTCTTCTGATCAGCCCATTGATTGTATCACTGTGCAGAAATGGCAAAAAAAACCCTAGAGTTCTCATCCAAGAAAAACACCACAAGGTCCAGATAGAAATTCAGATTACAATCTACCTCGTTTAAAATCCAAGCTTCATCTCAAATGCAGCAAACAAATATCCAGCCACCCAGAAATCATTCAGAACATACCACAAAGTGTGACAATTAGCTGAAGATCGGAAAGCACCTGAACTGAGGGCAAGGAGACCTCTCAAAATACTGCTCTTAGGAAAGTTAAAGGCTGGTATGTATGTATTTTGTATATAGCATCACTAAGAACCAGCAGAAACCCAGGGGTCTCAAGTGAAGTATTTCTTCATGTCAGAAAATTCAGGCAGCATAAAGGAAGAAATTATTATAGTGAACCAAGCAGCAGGGAGTATGCAGCAGCGAACGCGCACATTAAGACGCTGATAAAGCACATCAGAGAGGCAAATATCAACAAGTACTTGAAAGACAGCCATCTCTGGGACGTTTCTGATTCCATACAGCTGAGCAGCTCACAAACCTAGACTGGACAAATCAGTTTAGAAAGTTGGAGGATCCTGGAAGAACTGGATGAGATGAAGAGTAAAAACAGAAGGGAAAATGGTTACATCAAGACAAAATCCTAATCTGGATTAC